CAAGAAAGAGTGCCACGTCCCCTCGTAGACGGAAATGCATGCGCCCACCCACACACACACACACTTAGGCGAAACAGATCCGTGTCCCCGCCGACGAGACTGTCGTCGGATTCTGTGGTCCTCGTGTTCGCCGGATCTGTTGAAATAGCTGCCATCGCTCGTAATGGATACGAATGCGAAACGGGGAAAATCGATACGAGAAACGCATCGGTTAATACATTTTATATTCGTGCTCGGGTTATATATTTTAGTCAAATAATAATAATAATAATAATAATAATAACAATAATGTCCCCGGCGTGAGTTATTATTCATAACGTTCAAAAATTGAAACACAGCGAATGGAAATGAATTCGCATCTCATGTGCATTCTGTTTGTTTGCGGTCTCTTAGCCACCGCCAAACAGCACACGCACACATGCACACACGCACATGCACACACACACATGCACACACACCCACTCACAATAGTCCTAGGAATTTGTGTGTTTTTCAGTCCCTCGATCGAGTATGACGTAATAATATCGTGTGTTATGTTATAGCCACAGAGTCGGCCACCTGAGAATAGTCGAAACTATGAACCATATATGTGTAATTAATTTTAAACGGCTGTTTGATTTCATCTATAAAAATAAGCTGATTATTGTTATTGCTGTTGTTTTTTTTTTTAAGTTTCAACGCTGCCTATAAGCTGTACACTATAATTATTACTATGCAAAGTGCAACGTTGTGTGTTACTAAGAAAAAACCAGAAACAGCAAAGCCATTATTTCTCATAACAGATTAACGTAAAAACACACGTTTATTTTCGTATGGTGTTCGATTAACGAACATTATATTATTTTGATTGCTTTAAACATATTAATATTATAGAGTATTTTTTCGAACATTAAATCATTAAATATTTAATAGAAAACAAAAAACAACATTAAATTAAACTAATATTGTTTTTTTTTTTTTTAATCATAATTATGGTTTTGTACATATTTTCCTTCCTTGTAAAATAAAATAGTTACATATTTAATGATAATACGTATAGATTTCTTAGATTAAAAAATAAAAATGAAGTATACTATGATGGAAATGTAGTATATTTTTATGCTCTTTTCAAAAATTAAAAACTTTGTCTGAAGGAGTTTTCCTAAAGTACCTACCCATAATATTTGCTTAAGTCGAACAGGAATAAAACAGAAACCCAAGCGTATAATGTGTATACTGTACATCTGTTTAGCTTTAGCGCAACCGTAATGTAGGAACGTATAATATATTCTATAGTAGAATTTTCAAATATCCACACTTCACATTCCAGGCCTGACGGACGCAGTAACCCAGAAATGAAAAATGCATTTAAAAACAATAAATTATTCAAAGATTTCAAATACTAATTAGTTGAGAACTTGAAATACAATAAAACAAATTACGAAAATAAATTTAGAATGCCATTTATTTTAATTTCCCCTATAATACATCAAAATTAATGATTTTAAATTTTCTTAAAACAATAATAGGTACCTGTTCTAAGAAACACAACAATCAGGTTTCTGTTAAAATGTATGTTGTACATTACTATAGTAAAATGAATAACTGTTTTGAAATTATTTTTTAGTAGCATTTTAAATAATTCTTCACTTTTTAGTTAACGCATTAAATGTACAAGACTTTTAGTTTAAAGGAAAGATAACTTTTAATAAAGCGCGACATCATTAAAACTAATATTCAAAGCTAACTTTATATATAAAAATAAGTTAATGAGAATGTCATATAATTAGTTGTAATACCTAAGTTTTGAATTGATATGTGTATGTAATTTAAACGGAGGAGTTAGAAAAACATAAACAATTATTGCATAATATATATTAAGACTCAATGTATTGTTTACATATAAATATTCCGTAATAAGCTGTTATAAACCATATTTATGGGCAGACATTTAATTTCGTTACTTAAAAAAAATTAGTACATTAACACAAAAGAAATAATTTTTATGATAATCATTTATAATAGGCATCTTTATTTAAAAACAAATATAGCGTTTTAAGATTTTTTTACTGTAGTACCTTTACTTAAATAAGGTCTTTTAGTTCATAAAATGTTTGTCATAAATAAATAAAATGTGGTTTGTTGATTAAACTTAATGCGGAATGTTTGAATAATAAAATACGGTTTTGTTTAATTAAAAGTTTCTAAGACAATTGCATGGTATATTATAAGAAGATTAATGATCAGCTAATTATTAGACTTATTTGTTGATGTTGCGTACTTATCTAAAGTCAACTATAACATTCCTTTTTTTTATAACAATAGTTCATTTTGGTGATAGACACAGTCATTTTGGTACAGCAGTATTTTTTATAACTGAAGCAAATAGTTTTTAGAATATTTTGAAAGCAATTCAAACATTTATAATTTTTTTATTCAATTATCGTTTCTTTTATTTCAGGTGCATTCATTCCTAAACTTTTATTGACTTTTATCAACATGTATATACTTAGTTACATTTAATCGTGTGTTTAAAGTTTCAAGCTAATAGGAAAAAATTAATTTTTTATACAAAATAAGTCTGTCATTTTCATATAAGCATAATCTGATAGTCATATAATATTTTGTTTATGTTAATAATAATAATATTGAGAGTAAATCAATATTACTGCAATAACGGCGTGAATAATTTATATTATTTTATGTCTTAAAACTATTTATGTTTTATTTGCTCCACAGTAGCCTCCACGGTGATCAATAAATGTTCAATAAATATAATTTACCGATTTGAATGATTATGCTATAATTTAAGAAAAAGTATTTTTTAAAACGTATAATATTGGACGGTAACAATACATTTTGTTTTAATTGAAATGGTACATTACTGAATTTTTCTGGATCAATTAAAATATATGGTCCCATAAACAATTTTATGAAAATGTATGAAAAATGTGAACTCAAACAAAAAATACTTGTAAATTCCATGCCTGTATTATGTATTTTAATTAAAATTGTTTTTTTGAATTTCATAGAAATGGTTTTCTTATAGTCTTACTTAAAAATAACCGTGATATGGAAATATTCTTTTTGATTTACTTTACTAACAGATGTTGTCACAACAAATCAAATTTTGAATTTTAATAAAGTAGGATCTTTTAGTTGCCAGTTATTATAGTAATTATGTTGGTTTGTAACATATCTATGTTTGGTTCTATATAAATTATTACATCACTTTTTGGATTTTAATTAAAACATAATATTTTTTTTCAGGTTACACTTTTTAAGCGATCTTTTTATACATCCATATTTGACTATCATGTAGTATAAGATAGTTAATGTTTATACTATCATAATTCGTCGACTTTAATATTAAATAAAGTTTTTGGACTTGGTAATTCTACGAAAAGTATACTCAGTCACATCGATCGCACAAGTAGCATTTTTCTAGCACACAAAACCAATTGATATTCCACAAAATAACAATGATATATTATTATTTCATATTTCTAATGTGAATTAAATTTAAATCTTTCACTGGGTGGTTTCTTCCTTCACGTTTTTTCATGTACAAAATTTCTCGCTTATCACATATTCTTTTATTGTGCCCAATAGGGAACATATTGTGTATTTCTTGTTAAAAATAATAATAAAAAAAAAATCCATGTATTTTTATAAACAATATAAATATATTATGTTATATTATTTGTTTTTGTTATAACAATCTGTTTAAAGATGAACTTAACAAATCCTCCAGCACACACATGATGAACATATGCGATCTCACGGTGCATAATTTTACAACGTCTGATCCTGACGATTTTGGACCCGTCCGAATACGCGGAAATTATTCGACGCACGTAAACAAAATTACTCAAGTGTACGCGGTACTCCGGTTTAAGATGTAATGAATATGTTATATGTGTATAAAGAATACAGTCAACAACATCTTGTTACGTGGAACAAATAAATAGGTAGGTAGCTCGGATAAAACTCACCGTATAATCAACTGAACAAATAGAGAAAATAACTCCGGTGATCGAGTTTTTAAATGATAATACGTAAACTGAGCCATCGCGGAGACGTGATTATGTAAATGAGCTCGGAAACATTATTAATTCTTCGCAGATCGTTGTGCTATACACATTTTTGGATTATTATTGTGCGTGGAATAATATCACAATATATTAGGTAGTAGCTGAGAAAAAAAAAACTCAAGATTCGAGTCAATACAAAACATGAGTTTGTCACTTTACCGTAGTTATTGTTTTTTAAGTTCTCGTCAAATTGTATATAGTTGAATGATCCCTTAAAATGTAAAATATTGTTGATGTACGGACAATTCCAGCAGATAAAAAAATTGATTTCTATGATATTTTTTTTATTGATACACAGTAAAAAAATACGTAGTTTGTTACTGTAAAGTAAAACCGTGTACGTCCCCGTGTATTGTATCTTTTGTCTTCTATGAAAAATAAAATGCTTTTCAAAGTGTACAAAATGTTTTGTAGAACAAATGAAAAAAAAAATGTAATTGTTTAAACCTTTGTAAGATATTAATAATTAAAAATATGCGTATGGTATGATATATTGTAATACATTAGTTTTTTTTATTTTTTTTTCAATAACGTAATCATTTAATATATTGACTTGGCCAATTAAGGTAATATTGTACAGTGTTTTAAAATCATAAAAAAAAATATACCTCCTGAAAGTAAAAAATAATACCATATGGCCTATATACAATTAATTTATATTATTTAAAAATAAATACTATACAACATTGTACTATTTAGTAGATATTAACTTCAATAATTTAGATTCGTGTTTTTGGTGAAAACATCTCAGGTTATTCCTAGGGGTATGGTTAACATTTAAACCGGCCCTGCCTGTTGGTAATAATATCCTACAGTGTCGTGTCGTAACCACCGTATAGTGGGCATAGGGATATCTATCCGGAAAATGGTAACCACAACCACAATGATAAGCGTCATACGAATGGTATATTATTTGAGTTGGTATACCTGGAACCACTGTTGGTGATATCATCAAGAAGTTTATGCAAGCGGCTCCGGGCCCGTGACCCATCAAAGAAACGTTCTCCGGATCACCGCCGAACAGTACAATGTTTTGTTGCACCCAGTGGAGCACGGCTATTTGATCCATAAGGCCGTAGTTGGCCACTCGGGCCCTCGAATTGGGCGAACCGTTGGCGTTCAAAAATCCTGAAAGAAATGAAAAAAAACGATGATTATTAACATGTTATTAATTTAATGTTCTGCATACGCAACAAAGTACCACTAATATATATATATATATTATTATATACATTATTATTTTCATAAAAATTCTAAAATGTAACCTTTATATATATACGATATATATAAATAAAAATGTAGGCATCATATAAGTATTATTATTTATAATATTTTCGATTCATTGGTATAAACATCACGTGTGATAAGATAATTAAATTATTTAGTTTCCATTTTTTCGTAAACTAATACTAGTCGTGTTTGAACAATCGCACGGAAATTTAATCAATGGCTAATCCAACAATGATGACGCATGTAACCTGAAATTAATGCTTTGTGAAAAATCATTTTGAACACAACATTACCTACTATGGTCACACTCGTAAACCATAAACTATAACCTAATCGATTATGTTGTTCCTTCAGAGTGTTGTTTTCTGAATTAAGACAGTAATTTTCCTTTCCTGGTAATAACGGTAAGTTGGTATACTTGCAAATAAAGATAATAATATCATTGTTATGAAGTGATTTATAAAACAATATCAAATTAATTAATTATGATTTATAAATTTATTTTTTATTTATTATTTATCTAGTTTCTATTGTAAATTTGTAACTACTGCATTTTGAATGCAATGCTAAAAACTGTATTTCATAATATTGAACACAAGTATTTGAGTAAGATGTTAGTTAGGATGATAAGTAAAATGTTCTTTCATAATGAGTCAAATGCTTAAAAAAATTATTATTCCAAAATATTAAATTTTTAGATAATTTGATAATTTGTTTATCAATTTCAGTAAAATTCAATTAATTTAAAAAGAACACAAGACTTCATTTTCCCAAAAAGTTGATAGTCTTAGTTACTGCTTTATATAGTAGCAGTGCATTAATAACTATTTATAATAAATAATAACCTTGCATATTTAAAATGCAATAAATGTACGAATAAATGTTGATATATAGTTTGTAATCCAAATAATGACTATTTGAGATAAAAATTTAAATTATAAATTTTCTTTCTCTTTTAAAAACAATAATGATTTATGTAACCCTCCGTATTAAGTAAATGTACATCCTATTTATACATTTTGCATTACGTCTTATACGTCTTATACACATTATATTCTAATCTTTTTAAATCAGACAAAATACCGGGAAGCAGTTCCAAGACAGAAGTGTTTACTTAAGTCCTATGCACAAGCTTTATAATAATACATTTAATTATTTTAATAACAACATAAAATATAATGATTTCATCAAAAATATAATAATATTAATAAAATATAATAAGTGTTATGGAAAACGAAGAAGATCGTGTAATAATTTTGCATATCCAAGACGCCGTGTTACAACATTTTAATTGATCTTATACATCACAATAACTGAATCATATTTTTACCTCACCAATAAGATATACAAAACGCTAAGTACACAAGAAACGAAATATTATCAAACTAACAAAATCAATATTAGGAAATGTTATTGGTTAGAATATTTTCGCAAAAAGCAAATAATGGAAATGGGTTTGCGGTCATCGAATTAAAATTTTTTGTTATACAATAGGTACTATACAAAAATATTATAGAAAAGAAGACTATTTCATTGAATACAATAAAATAAATAGTGAAATGTTCTCAACCACATTTTTTAATAATAAAGTAATATTATTTGACAATTGCAGAGTTATTGGATTATGAAATTCCGATCTAAAAATTGGATATTTGAATAACAAATGTTGAATAATATTAAATAATATGGAATGTGGATACAAGCAAAGCTTTAATATTACAATATATTGTCAAAATCGATAATTTTTAATAAGTTAAATAAATGTACAAATTATTATGGGTTTGTATTTGTATTGAAAAACTGATGGAACAAGTATGAACAATAATCTACACATATTATAATCAATTTTACACATACAAGTAAATGTATATGAAGTTTTAATTTTGTTTAAGTATCAATATAATTAAACAACACTATAATGAATTTCCATTATTTTTATGAGATAAATATTATATTTTATTTGTTTTTGAGTAGGAGGATTTGGTTTTTTTGGCATGTATTAGGAAAAGGGAAAACTTGGCTTGTTCTATGTTAACAATGTTTACAAATTTAATTGGTATTGTTATTGATATTTTATAAATGCGAATGACAAGAACGACCTTCAATGGGATTTTCCTGTCGAATTTCTGAAAACGTTATGCTGCATTAATCCATTTACAAAAAAGTTTTAATGAGATGTACTGACGAGAAAAGTAATTAAAGCAGAAAAATAAATGTTTCAATTTTTTAACTTTCAAGTAAATCCTTCAAAATTAATATCAGAGTGCAAGGATTTATGCTAGGTACCCGGTTTTAATAAATCCAATCAAATTGCATCCTACCATTTGAGTTGACTTTTATTCTGAATTTATATTTTATATTTTTTCATAAAGAAACATATTATTATTTATACTGTTTTTACTTTATTGACATTGTTGAATTTATACTTATGTTAAGATTATATGATCAAAATGTGTCAACAAGCATCTGTTATAATGATAGTTCAATCCAATTTATTTAAATTGTTATTTTATAAAATGAGTGAAATAAAAAAACTGTTCACCTTAAATTGCAAGATAACAATATGGTTTTTTCATGCAATCACTTTTTGGTCTTTTAATATCTCTAAATCTGTCATATACGAACCACTTTATATTGCATACTGAACTCAGATTGAACTTGTACAAATGCATTTATTCAATTTTTCTGCGGATCTCATAAAATCATAGAAAGTACAAAACAATATTTTCGAAAAGTATAAGCATCCATTAGTTTAATGAAATATCGACAAATTTTCTAATTGAAATACATTTTTGTGTTCAACTTTTGTCGCTGAAACAGCTTAAAATTTAACGGTAGAACACACTCTCAGCTACTTTACATGACGTCTTATATAATGTGCGCATGGTTAAAAAATATGAAATGAAAAATAATACAATAAACCGTTTGGTCCACATTACGTATACAACTTGCTATTCACTGACACAGTGACACAAATCAAATATAAAATACTATGTTTAAGTCTTTAATCCAACTGCCAAAAATCACCGTATATTTAGATGAATAAATAAAAATAAGCACATGTTTGTGTAAATATCTTATTAGTAATTACCATTAATATTCAAGGGGTAGCCGATATACCTGACGAGTATTTGTGCACTATGCGTTCATGTGTATTATGAAGTAAGTCTTTTCACCATGCATCGGAAAATGGATGGTGCATTATTATTAAATTTCCAAAAACCAAGATTATAGATACATAGTTTTATAAAAATTAACTGATTGCAGGTAATTAGTACACCCAAAGAAACACATTGTCTATGCCCATACAAATGTCCGAGCTTTTCGTAAGTTAGGTACGAAATATATGAATACAAATATTATGTACACATCTAATAATGCTTAAAATGGCAACTCAATTGGTTAACATTATGTTCAAAAAAATTTAAAAAAATATATTTATGTGAAAGTGAATTTTGTCTAATGAACGAGAATTGGAGCTAGCTCATACCTCGGTTAGGTCTGGTATTACATCCTATCTTCTTTTAAATGATTTTTTTGGACAAACAAGATATTTATATTATATGGTTGACAAATTAAATAATAATAGATTATTCGATAAATTAAAAAAGAATTCAGTATTATTTTAGTATATTTGCATTACTATGGTGTAAACCGTGAGGCCTATGCTTTTCAATATCCAAGCAAGTTAAACAACATTTGTATTAGATAATTTTTGAAAAGACTTCATCCTAAAATTGTCAACGTAAACTATTCTTTTTTTTTACTGAAGAAGTAGAAGCACTTTTATATGATGTTGTTAAATGTCATGGTGATATTGCATATTTTGAACATCTGGAAGAAGGCTTACAATAATGGTCATACTTTTAAATTTATAAAATTATTTTGGATTTTTTTTTCTTAAAATGTTGAATTTCTATAATTATTTTTGAGTATACTCAATAACTAATTGAAATTACAATATAATTTATGTCGATGTCTAATTATTAAAATTCTTCATTATATTAAGCTTATTTTACAAAATAAAATTTATCGGAATCTTTATAATGAACTTTGTGGAAACCTTCTTTCCTCCCTTTGTTTCCTTTGTATTTTAATTTAAATTGAAACTATATTTAAATATAAATAAAACTAATACAAACAAAGTTTTGTAAGCAAAAAATGCATGAAATATAAAAAATAGTTGTAGCCCATAAGAATAGTAAAATTAATAATAAAATAAATCATATTAATATGTATTGATTATAATTTTTAAAACAAATGATATTATTACATATTTATAAATCACACTTTCAAAATAATTTATTTGTTTTATAAAAAACTTACATTCTTGGTTATTGCAACTAAAAAAATTGTTTCATAGGTAATGACGTATATTAAAATAGGAAATAATTACACAACGGTCATAATATTATTCTGGTATTCTTACCGGTTCATGGCGGATAAAGTTATAAGTCATACAACGCTAAAACTTCGACACAATTTTACGCTTAATGTCAGTGAATTTCAGAGTTAAGAACTCTGTTGGACATACAGGGTCAATATAGGGTAGGTTCTTATATTGTCTGGAGATTTAAAATCCTACGTGGACAAGTCCTGTTCGTTTTGGCACATTTTCGACGTGTTCTTAGTCAAGTTTAGGTACCTACGTGAGTATTTTCACCAATTGTGCAATGTTTTTTCAGCGGCTCTTCTAAAACTCACACGAACTATGCCGTGTTAAGAGATTTTTGATGTTTTTATACTATGGTTGTGAGGAAAAAACTAAACCTAAGACCACGTCTCAACATGTAATTAAATATAAATTTATTTGCAACTAAGACTGATTGGTGATAGCAAATGAATACCACCGAAAAATTTTAACCCATGGAATTAATTACCTATATATGAAGTACAAT